CAAGGGAGGTGCGCGGCTTCCGCTGCCCTCATTGGGTTATTATTGTGGCGGCGGTGGGCGCAGAGGGAGCCGCGTGTCTCTAACAGGCGGCCAATCGGCGAGCAGGGCGCGGCCCAATGGGAGGAGCACACGCGCTGCAGGGGCGGGGGGTGTGGCACCCATAGTGCCCGGTGGGGAGGGGGCGGGTGTCTCGTGCCCGCCCGGCCACGCCCCCGCGCACCTGTCAATTACCGTAATGCCCCGTGTATAGCAGCACCCTCCAGGCCTGAATGTCAAAGCCCCTTCAATCGCCTACCGCCCGCGCGTCGCCGCTGGGCCGCAGGCGTCATCAGCTCAGCCCTGCGTGCCCTGTGGCCTGCTGGTCGCCAGCGATCTTGGTTTTCTCTGATTTAAAAAAATCCCCAATTTTCAGGTAAAAAAAGTAACCCCAAATCTACGTTTTTCCATGATTAAAATGAAACACCTCTGTGTATATCTCTCTATACTAGTGGTCTTTCATTTAAATCATGGGAAAATGTGGATTTGGGGTTACTTTTTTTAACTCGAAAATTGGGAATTTTTTTTAAATCAGAGAAAACTGGGATCCCTGGGGATTGCCTTCCAGGGAGGTTATTAGTACAGGAACCCCTGCGTCTCCCTGCCGTCGTCCCAGAGCACCCGCCGCAGCCGCCGGGGGAGCGGGAGGGCGAGCGGGGGTAGGATGTCTGGCTGCAGGGACGGGGGCTCAGCCGTGCGGCCGGATTCGATGAACAGGTCTTTTTAAAGGGCTCTGGAAGACCTCCGGGTGCGCGGTCTAACCCAAGCAGCCTCAAGAGATGCTTCGGTAACAAAATGGGCAGCAGCAATGCAGAGACCGCGTGCACTGGGGAGTCTCAGCCAGGGGACTACGGCCTGGGGCGCCCTGAGACCCTTTCAAGGGTGCCGTGCAATCTTAGCACTGCTAGGCAAGCAAACGTGATTCACAAGATAAACCCAGAGATTTCAAGTACAAACTCCCAGGGTTAAAAACATACTGACCTGCTACGGTCTTGCTGAGTTGTTTGCAATAGAAACATTGCTCTAGTAATTTTCTGCAGTCAAGTAACAAGTAAAACCTAAGAGTTGGCATTTTCTGAGGGCTGCCTCAGGTACAAAAAGGGTGAGAACCACAGGCTTCGTGCAGAGGAGAGAAAGAAGCAGAGCATGTGTCTCTGAGGCACGAGGGTCTGAGACACACACAAGACCCTCAGAATCCTCCAAAACAGGACTCGACTAATCATCTATTAAATCTCTGGGTATTTTAGAGAGCCAAGAACAAAAACAGCAAGTTAAAGCATGTGCAATTTCTGCTTCTTTCAGGGTGACGTGCCACAGACAAAAAGCCAACCCTGCGTCTATGCACTTCAACCTTATTCCGAGGGCTCAGGTTGCACCTAGGAGATCCAGCCCCTGCCAGCAAAACGTCACCCTGAAGCCCTTCTGGAAACAACAATGTAAATTAGTTCAAAATACAATGCATCACATGACAGCTAGCTCTGAACAGCATACAGAACTGCACAGGAGAAATTTAAAGCACGTTTATCTTTAAAAATGAAGTCAGATACAATTCCTATTACGTAGTACCCCAGTGCAGGACAAAATTGTAGCATCTGTGTGATCTATGGAAGTGACTGACATCCAAACTGGCCGTCGCATTGGCATTTCAGGAATCTATAAAATGCCAGCAGCTCTATTTCTATAGGCCGTCTCAAAGTTTTGCTTCCTGAAATTTCTAAGAGAGGTTTTTTCCTAAAAACCTGCCCCTCCCCGCCCCCTCAAAGTGGCATCATAGTGACCAGTTTTTATATTGTGGTAGCAAATAATGGCAACAACTAGGTTGGGTCCTGCCTCAAGGAGTTTACACTGTAAAAGACAACACATAATAAGACAAACCAGAGATCCAGGTGAGTTTGGAGAGGCAGGGTTACAAACATACATGGGAAATGCAAAGTTTTTAACCAGTCAAAATGAGCAGTCACAGATCTCCACCTGCCTAGCTAATGTGTTTGAATCAAGTCATTCTGGCTACATTTTATTCATTTTTAGGCAATCTATTTTTTCCTAGCTACAAGTTTCAGGCTTTTTATCTCTGACTAGAATAGTTCTGGGCCATACTGTAAAGTTGTTTTTTCCTTGTCTGGGTTTTAAACCTTCTTCCTGTTTTTTGTTTTTATTATTTTTTTACAGGAGTGATCTGTCTGCAGAGATTTGTGCCCTTTCAAAGATTCTTTGGATGAGAGCTGATGTGTAAAACTTCAGACTTCACCTAATTTTCAGTCATCCAACATGTTGATTGTCTTAGTCTTAAATCTATAAAGATGGGTAAAATTATCAAGCAACTTTGACTTCCCCTACCCCTGAATATAAGAGCAGTAGCACAGCACCTTTGAGGCTGGCTCAACTGAAAAGTGCTGTGTAATATCTGGTTCTTAACATTATTTTTGTCATCTTGGCAGAGAGGGCAGAACTGACCCAAACAACTTCACCCCCTGTATCCAGGTAATGGCCTGTGAAAGGCCCATAAGAGGAAAAGACAAGGCAACCAGGTGATTAATGGAGGAGATGAAAGGCTTTTTCAGTTTCCTGAACAGGATGCTCAATTACAGATGGACACTGCACTAAACGTGAAAAGCCCTGAGGGAGTGAACACACCATAATTAATCAAGGTGGACCTGCAGTGCAGGAGCTAGGGGGGTTTCTCGCAGTCACTCCTGCAACATGAGAACATCAGTTTGTTCCTAGACAGTGATGCATTCTAGTGAATATTGGGCCACAGAAGGGAGGTGATATATGTTGAATTTCAGCACATTTGTGATGAATGCACCTAAGCCGTTTGTTCAGAGGTGGTCACATATGTTGTTAGCAATAAAAGACTGGATGACACACCATGATTTTGCTTTTGATAGAGCACTACAGGGATTTTTTTAATTGGGTCCTACTGAAGTCCCCCTCCTTTTGCCTAGAGAAATAAGGAGCTTCACCAAGCTGGGAGGAAAAAAAAAGCAGTCAGCGTAAATGGGAAAATGAGAATTCATTGGAATTGCAAGAATCAGAACAGCCCTACAGACATGAGACAATCCTGTTTCATGTTTTACATCTTCACTGACTGCCTCCCTTGCATGCATACCAGCCTCTGGCTTCTTTACTGTTCATTCCATCCAGGAGGAGCACACACCAACTGCAGATGCTTCCTCAGACTGAAAAAGGGTATTTATACCCAAAAGCTTGCAAAGAAGTTTTCCAACTACTTAAGTTGTTCTAATAAAAAATATTGTGTTTACCCAAAGAACCTTGTCTGCCTCTTGTTTATGGGGCACTTCTAAGATATACTTCAGCCCTGTTCCCAGGTGATGGGAACAGAGATTAGCACCCATTTCTTGATGCAGTAGCAGAGAGACTCTGCTCCCTGCAAAACTGTATTTACTATATTTTGAAACATCCTTTGAAATGAAGATCTGATAAATGTCTAAGTAAAACCTCTTGATGTCTATTTACTCATCAGCATGATTATGCTTTCCATAGCTCTCCACCTGGTTCAATAGTCAGAGCTAACACTGAAACCCTCCTGGATTCAGACAGAGGGGATGATGGGTTCGGTGTTAGGTTTCTGCATAAGAAGGTTAAACTGTCATCAGATTCTTAATGAGCCCTGGGATTTCTTTTTAGATCCTTGGTTAATGGCAAATGAAATCATCAGCGGGGGAGGAAGTCTCCTTTCCACCCCCTTATCCCTGATTACTTTTTGATAAAGAACAAAACCCAGCTGGAAGATGAGGGGATCGTGAGGTTAAAGAAACATGTCGGGGGAGGAAGCAAAGACAAGACAAGTGGGCACATGCGAGACAGAAACACTTTGGTTCCAAACCGCCCCTGGCGCTGACGTGCTGAGAGCAGTCTGGCCTGACAGCTCACAGAAGTGAGGAGTCTGGGTGTCTTAACTGGAGGGTGGCTAGGGGTTGACTGAATCCTAGGAATGGAGTGGGGGAAGGCTGGTTCGGGACTCTGAATTGCAGCTGCACTTATTAAACTTGCTTTGTTAAGACAACCCTCTTGGTGGGAACTTAGATGGACATGAGACCTCTGGCAGGTGAGAAAAGCCAAACTCATGGGAAGTGCTGTTATGTCCCTGTTAAGGGCTAGAGTGTGGAGAAAGAGGATCTCAGCTCCTAGAGCACTTCCCACCAGACCTTGTTCTTAGTGAAGTCTATAATTAAAGTCTCACTGACTCCAGTGAGGTCAGTCTTAGGCCCTATTCACTGCTATTATTCCAGCATCTTGCTGATACTGGAGTGAAGTGCCAAAGCCCACCTGGCCCCAGGCATCTTGTTTAAAGCGCCCAAGAAGATACCCTGAAATATAATGGATCAAATTTTGATCACTCTAAGGCCACTATAGACTGTACTGATACAAAATGGCTGTAGAAGGGTCATAAGACAACCCCTGTCATATCCTTAGTCAGAAGCTTGGCCTGCTCACATGGTGATTGGTATCAATAATCCAGATGTAAGAATTAAAGGGCACAGAACTCTACAAAACAGAGTAAATATCTAAAAAATGATTAGTGCCCATCATGAACCCAAAGTTCCAATTTTTGCGGAGGATTGTCTGTTAACAGACACGTTAACTTACATGATTTCTTTGCGCACCTTATTTTTTCCACTATATGCAGACAAAAGTGTCTGGTCTTCTGTTAAGGACAGGCTTTTTGTTTTACCTCTCATGAAACATCCTAAAATACACTGAGGAGGTTGCCACCTAGTGCTGGAGAAGTGAATTGAAACTTGGAGCTAGGAGAATTCGTAGGCAGTTTTCAATTACTAAACTGCGTGACTGCTTCTGAATTTGCAGAAGGCTGCGTGTTTTGGGGGCATGGGACCCAGATGCAGTATTAATCTTTTTTATTATCACCATCAGCTCTAACCCATATGGGAGTCAGGAGTGATCCCTTCCATTCATGCCCATGAATACAGTTGCACAACGGAGATCCTCAAGTCTACTTTTCCAATCACTTATCTCTCTTTCTTTTTATAAACTGTGAAATCCATTTAAAAGCTAAAGAGATTAAAAAATATTTCTTCAAAATCAAAATAGAAAATACTGTTTACCAGACTCACAGGAACAGAAATGCTGTTCTGGGTTTCTTAGCTGATTTCATCTCTTTCTCCCTGTAACTTTTTCTTACCAATGCTATGAGGATTTCAGGCAAAAGTTAATAGTGGCCCATCAGCTGTAATTTAAATTAGTTTTCCCTTCCATTCACTGAGTGCCCATCCTCTTCAGGCAAGGATTATGCAATTGTTGAAGCTGAATCATTGTGTACTCTCTAATTTCATTTATCTCAGAGGTCAGCAACACCCAGGTTTCCATCAAAACCTGGCCAGAACCAGGTCACATCCATTATTAAGAAGACCTTGAAAAAGACATGTCTAAGTCTCTTGGAGCTGATGGACAAGTTAACTACAAACATTTATCCTCTCCACCCTTCACTTGCCACATTTGTACATGTAACTAAAACCAAACCTCTGTAGGAAACAGCTTTATCATTGGTATCAGTGCCACACCATGGTCTTAACAACTTTTAACTCTTGCAGTCAAAAAATCCAGCTAGAAAATGCCCCAAGAAATTAAGAACCAAAAGAATTCTTAGTGCAAGTCCACTGAAGTCAATCTCCAGGGATGTATCCCCAGGGCTAAATTTGGACCTAAAGTCTGAGATAGTATTTTTTCTAAATGGACAGCAGTGTTGAGGTTCAGCTCTTTACTTCCCTAAGCCTGCTCCTAAACCTTTCCACCTTGCAGCTATTTTTCATGTTCTCTCTGCTGTGGATTCTAAGGAACATCTATGCATCTGACTGAGGTCACAGGTACGTGAACCCTTTTGGCAGGAGTTCATCAGCTTCCTCTCTCAGTTTCTGCTAGAACCAAAATAGCTAAAAGTTTGAAAATGCAAAGATGGGGGAAGAAGAAAGCCATTAGCTCTCAGCATGACATAAACAACATGCAAACCTCAAGGAGGCACTTGAGCAAAGACAAATGGGCCTGTCTCAGAGTTCATCTCTTTTGTTTGTAGAAAATTATTACTTGGAATTCATGTTTCCTGTTCATTAGATGCCAGTGGAATTTTAAGACATGGAATCCATTTTAATTTGTTACCAAAAACAAACCCTTCTCAAGTCCCATCTGGAACTTATTTTTATTGTAACTGTTGTGTGTTCTGTAACTAGTTCAAGATACAACTACCCTCACTAATTGTTTCAAGAATAAACAGATGATTTGTTTAAAGCAAGCAGCTCCCACCTTGCCCAGCACAGCATGCTGATGGGTCACAGGGTGAAAATATCAGTGATGAAAGAGACTGGAGGATGGAGCAATGAGCTGATTCAGCATTTACCATACTTAGTACTTGATAGCCCCAGTCTTTGTCTATAAGAGGCACCAACCTCCTGGTTTCCATACCATGTTCAGGGTGGGTCCCAGGTATCAGCAGATGGCCCCTGCATTTTAAGATTAAGTTGAAAAATTAAGTTGAAACCTAGCTTTTCCTTCCGCTCTAGTAGATGGGTGTACAGCTACTTTCATTCCCCCTCTTCAAATGAAAAATATCAAGTGCCCCAGTTCAGGTTTTTCAGTGAGAACTGGCTGACCCATGGTACAAGACCCCAACAGCCACCATCACACCTGGGAGTGAGAGAGGTCACCACTCAAGGAAGTACTGTTGTGCACTTAATAGATGTTCTTAAAGAGTCACACCCTTCCTCCACTCATTATTAACAAGGTAACAGCAGTCTGGGTAATGCTATACAGAGTTGTGGTTTCATATGTTCTTCATGGCTTTGGTCAGCATGGGATGGATTACATAGAGCCATGATGCATAAGATTGCCCACCTATTTTATGGTCAACATCTGCAGTGTGTGTGACCCACTGTTGTTAATGCAATCAATAACTTCTTTACAAAGAAAAGCCATATGATCATAAACACCTTCCTCATTTAACACTTTTATTTTTAGATGTCTAATGGCCACGCAGAAATTCTTTCCTCTTCATTAAGAGAGAATAGTTTTATAAACTCATATACATAATTAACTAAACAGCTTCATGGCTAAATATCAAAGGAAAATAAATCATGCAGGTTAGGCAATTTTTAATGAAAAAGAAAAAAATAAAACTCTGGATTCAATCCCATATGGTTTGTTCACTGTTAGCTGTAGATGGAAATTAGCTTCTTACCTTATTTTATAGATTCATAAAGTTCAAAGTCCAGTTGGAACCATTAGATCATCCTCTCTGAAGTCCTACAAATCAGGCCACAGCACTCCACCCAGTTACCCCTCTATGGAATGTAATAGGTTTAGATAAAGCATATTTTCCAGAAAGACACTGGTTTGGATTTGAAGACACCAAGAGATCTATCCCCCCTCGCACTCTCACCACCCCCAGTAATCAATCCCTCACTCTTAAAGAATTTCCATTCTCTTATAAAATCTTTATAATACAGTCCAGCTTCTGTGGATGCCAACTGTCAATGTCTATCAACATCAACAAGGCATGAATAGAGCCCTTTTTTTGCAGCATGTATTTTACAGCAGTCATGGATAAAGCATGAGGAGGACAGAAAACTAAGCAAGAAGTCTATCTAATACAAAGGTTCTATCTTTGCCAACATATTGGGTGGTACAGTTAGCGAAGGGGCATTTGCCAGCTGCTAAGGGCTCTGAAAGTGAGAGCAAGTAAGCAGCTATCTTGTACCACACTAGTCATATTTAAGAAGAGGTGGTGTCCCAGCAGTCTCAGGAATATATGGAATATTTTGTGCCAAAAATTCCAAAAGAGTTAGTTCATCCCAATATATGGTTTACAGTTACCTATAGCAGCTGCTGCTAGACCTCATAGTTAGACTCTGACACCACAGACTTTCCTGCCTGTCTTGTAGGCATGCTATATCTTGACTGAAATTTGGTGCAGTCCATATGCTTCCCCTTGTATTCAAGAACAAAGTAATCTGGGGAAGTAACAAGGAGTATGAAATGATCAGTTCTTCCCCAGCCCCTTCTAGGCTCAACTAGAAAAGGACCATTGACATCTCCTCCAGGATACCTAGATTAAATTAAACCACTACAGCAGCACTAAGGCACATAAGGGGTTAAAGTAAGCAAGGCAGCTTCTCAGCAGCTGCATTTACTGTAGCCTGACTGTGTGTGGCTTGAGGCTTCA